GTTTTAAGGGCTGTCAAGTTGACCATGACTCACCACAGCCCTGTGAACAGTGTATCTGAACTTTGCCTGTCCTTCTGGTGACTTAGTGGTAAGCAGAGCTACACTGCCAACCCAGAGGCTTTGAGTCCACCAGGTGCTCCACAGAAAAGTGATAGGCAGTCTTCCTTGTGGACCACTGGAGGGTCAGGAGCTCTGATGGTGGAGTTCATAGGTAGTTGCCTTGCTCAGTGCCTCCCTTGAAGTTTGAATCCAACGGTGACTTCATGGGAGCAAGATGAGCATTCTCCTCCTGTGTGATTTATAGCCACCAAAAACCCATGGGATGGTCAGCTATGTCTTGTTTACAACTCAGTGGCAATGATAACTGTTCTTAATGTTTTGATGATTTTTTTAAAGTCACAGGCAATCATATCTTTCCTCCTTGAATATTAAGATCACTTTTTATTTTCTTTTATTGTCTGTCTGCACACTAATATATATGGATATTTTTATCTAGCAATCTTGTTAAATTTTTATAAAATTTTAATTATTTACCTGTAGTTTATTAAAAAAATCTACATACATACATATGTCATCTGTGTACAATATCACTTTTTCTTTCTAATCTTTATATGTTTTATGGATGACCTCTGAAGCAAAAATTTCGTTGTTGTATATTATTAATTAAAAATTTTAATATTTTGCTTCAAAGGATTTGTACTTTGTATTACTAGTGGTTTTTAGATTGTTTTTCATTCAGTTCATTTAGCAGTCAGTTCAACATTTTTTTAATAGCTATGAATGAAGTGTTTCATAAATGATTATTTAATGACACTGAAGTGATATTTAGTTAGTTCTGCGCTTTTTGTGCTTGTGAATTGTTAATTAGAAGGTTAAAGAGGTGATGCAAAAGGTTTTAAAGGTTACTTAGTTCTCTTTTATACTGTTTAATGTAGGTTCAAGCAAAGCTTTCACAGGTAAATTAGATTTAGAGCATGTTTTTTTCCAAAAATGCATTCTGGTACTTGGCTGTGTTTTAGTCCGTCTTTGAAATCTTAAAACTTTATGAGGAAAAATTTTTCTTGTAGTTAGTATGGTTTAAGGTTGCATTGCAGCAGTCTAAATGAAATGATGTCTGAGTTTGCTTTAACATGATTTATTGGTAGATAGAAGGGGCTGTAAAGGAGGGGTTTTAGATGAAACATATGTGTCTTTATGTAGACGATTCTTAAATCTGAATGATGGATTGTTGCTTGCCTTTGAGTTGAGCATGACTCATAGTGACCCTGTCAACAAAAGGCCAGAAGCCCCTCAACAACTATCAACATTTATCAAAGTTCATAGAGTTTCAGGAGACATGTTGTTTAGGAAGTGGCTGCCAAGGGTATTTATTACATTGTTGTTATGTGCTGTCAAGTTGCCTGCAATGCATAGGGACCCTATGTACAACAACTCTGAACCCTGCTCTATCCTGAGCCAATCTTACTGTCTCTGACAAACCTACCCCCATTACCCCAGTCAGTCACTGAGTCAATCCATCACTTTTTATTTTCTTTTATTGTCAGTCTGTCTGCACACTAATAATATATATGGATATTTTTATCTAGCAGTCTTGTTAAATTTTTATAAAATTTTAATTATTTACCTGTAATTTATTTAAAAAATCTACATACATACTTATGTCATCTGTGTACAGTATCACTTTTTCTTTCTAATCTTTATAGTTGAGGGTCTTCCCTCTTTATAGTTAAGGGTCTTCCTCTCTTGGGCTGTCCCTCCATACGCCTAAGCATGATGTCACTTTCCAAGGACTGGTCCCTCTTTGCAAGAAGCCCAGAGTATGTCAGATGGAGCTTCAGAATCCTTACCTCCAAGGAGCAGCCTTTTTCACCTTCTCAAGGATGAACCTATTTGTTCTCCTGGAGTTCATGGTCTATTAGTACTCTTCTCCAGCACCACAGCTCAAAGGCTTCAATTCTCCTTTTATTATCCCTAGTCATTGTCCAGCTTTCTGATGCATAGCACACAATTGCTAAGATCATGGCCTGAATCAGGTCCACATTAGTCTTCAGACTGACATTATTGCTCTTACTCTTTCTACTTTTGTGTATGCTGGAAGTTTGAGATTTTTTTTTAATATAAAAGAGTATTTTAAAAAATTATCCAAAGCCTTTCAAATCAGTAATGCTACCTTTCTCAGCTGACGTTCATTGATAGATTTAAACCCATATGTTCTATATAAGGTGCCAGAGTGAGTAATGAGTTAATTTCTCTTCTGTGCATCTATTACAGTATTCATTTGCAACCCTTCGGAAAATTGAGAAAATAGTCATTTTTGTGTTTAGTGGTTCAGATAAATAGCACTAATTTAAACTGGCTGGTTAAGATTTAAAATATATGATGAGTTTATTGTTTTAGTAGTTATATTTTGATGATGCTTCTTTGCTTTTTAACCGAAGCTCTGAATGCCAATTTATTAACATTGTGGAAATATGCTATGTTTGTAAACAAGTTATTGTATACTAAAACATGGAAAATGTGGTTTTCTTTTCTATTAGGTATAGTTTGAAGATGCAGCCCATTGAGAGAATACACCTAGCTGTAGTTGCCTGTGGAGAAAGACTGGAAGAATCCATAACTATGTTGAAGTCAGCTATAATTTTCAGCATCAGACCTCTCCATTTCCATATTTTTGCTGAAGATCAACTGCATGACAGCTTTAAAACTATAGTAAGTATTTGAGACTTAGTTACAGTGATAAAGTTGAATATTTAATGGTCTGCTGTAGTACAATGTTGTTTTATTATATCATTGTCCTTCTGAGGTGAGGAGGACTCTTTGCAGCCATTCTCAACCAGGAGACCAAATATGGATATAAGAAAAGGGTGGTTTTAAAATAAGAACAGTCTCCTTAAAACCTTTGCTGAGGATGGACATTTTCTTTTTCTGGCCGTTCTGGCTGAGAAATCCTGTGATTTTAATTTTGTCTCTGATATGATTTTGAAGTGCCTTAATCAGTGTAAACAAAGAATTTAACCCAGTTTAAGAGGAGAAGAATTTTTCATTGATTTTATTGAAGGGAATGAATATTTGCTGATAATAAAGTTCATTCTTTAGATTTTTGTAATTATTTAAAATGAGCTTGGCTATAATGGTAGAAAACATAGGGTAACAGTGACTTAACCAAGATAGAAATAGATTTCTCTTTCACATTAAAATAGGCACTTTAGGGTAAATGGCTGTTCCTTATTTTACCTTTTGGTGTAAGGTGGCTGCTTAGGCTCCAGTTAACACACCCATATTCCGGAGAGCATGAGAGGGGAAGAGTTGAAAAAAGTTACTGCTCTTCTTCCCTTTAAAAACACATTCCACAAGTTTCATATGACTTTTTTTTTAACCAGAATTCCATTGTTCTGTGTTAGTCCAAACTTCTGGTGAGAATAAAAGAATGCACTCTTTAATTGGGACTGCTCTGTCATCGGATTAAAATAAGCTTGTTGCTATGGAAAAAGAGGAAAATGGGCATCAGGGGAAAACTGACTTATGTTTTGAAATGTGCCACAGATGATGTTTAAATGCAGTAACCAAAGACAAGATGAATTTTGGATAGCATCATACATGGAAAATGCAAAAGATAATTAAAAAGACAAGGAAGAAAGAAAAGAACAAAATGGATGTCAGAAGAGATGCTGAAATTTCCTCTTAAACATAGAATAGCTGAAGCAAATCAAAGAAATGAAGTAAATAGAACAAAAGATTTCAAGAAGGCAGAGTAAAGTAGTATAATGAAATGTGCAGACTTAATTAGAAAACCAAAATGGTTTGCATCTGACCCCAAGCTCGGCATTTTCAGTTGCTTTATAGACATGTGACAGTTGGACAATGAATAAGGAACACTACAGAAAAACTGATGTATTTAAATTGTGATGTTGGTGAAGAATATTCCATGGATTGCCAAAAGAACAAACAAATCTGTTTTGGAAGAAGGGCAGAGAGAATGCTCCTCTGAGCATGGCCTCAGGAGAGGCAGTACTTGGAAAAGGACATAAGGCCTGGTAAACTAGAGGGCCAGTGAAAAAGAAGAAGACCTGGATTGACACAGAACTGTAACAGCGGGTTTAAGCACAGCAGAGATTGTGATAATGGAGCAAGATTGGGCAGGGCAGGGTTTTCTTCCGTTGAGTACTCTGGCACGTTGGAACAACAATACATGCATGTGAAAACTGGACTGTGATTAAGGAAGACTAAAGAGAAGTGATTCATTTATAGTGTCGGTGAAGAACACTGACTAGACAATAAACACGTGGACAATAAACACATCTACAGAATAAACACATTTGTCTTAGATGCAGTTCAGAATGTCCCTTAGAATCGGGAATGGTGAGATTTCCTCTTACCTACATTGGATATGTTAATCAGAGGGAACTAGATTTTAGAGAAAGGATACCATGTTTGATAAACTAGAAGTCAGCATAAAAGGAAAATCCTCAACCAGATGAAATGACACATTGGCCACAATGATAGGCTCAAGCATAAACATGATAGTCAGGATGTTGCAGGACTGGGCACTGTTTTGCTCTGTTGAAAATAGGGTCAGCACAAGTCATTACTGTCTAATCATGTCTAACAACAGTCATGATAATGATTATATCTCCATCAAATTAGTAACAAAATAAAATTTGCAGACTGATATATATGGTTATGCTTACTGTAATTACATTTTAAAAGTGTATTTGACATTTCCCCCCCCCAAGTTCAATTAACGTGTATTTTTTGAGTGAAAAATACCACTGTGACCTCATGAGTCAGTAATCTGTCAGTTACTTGCAAAAGGTATAAAACTTTACTTATTTGAAATATTTTATTTATCTTTATTTTGAAAGGTGCTTTTGCGATCTTGATCGTTTATCTGGATTATTTTCTAAAATATTAGTTGAGGATATGAAATTGTCCTGACATTTAAGGAGTGTGAAGTGTATGGCTACCAACTGGAGAAGAGACCTTTGAAAATGCAATAAAAATGAAAATAATTTTAGTGCTTCATCTTATATCCAGCCTTGGAGTTTTATTAAATCTGGCTGAATCCTTGATTCTGTAATGTGTAGAATATTTTTTAAATTAATTTTTCTTTAGTTATAATAATAAACTCTATTTAGTTTTTGATGAAAGAATAAACTCTTGTGGAAAATGGCTATAGTATAAAGATGGCTAAATATATTAGTGGAAATCTGACAAAGACTGTTGGTATTGAAAAGATACTTATGTAATTTATAGAGTGGAGAGGGAATAGTGTCAGTGATTTCAAATTATTAACAGATACATTAAAGCAACATAATGGAAATAAAAGTTTTTATTTAATATTTAAAAAGTATATTAGAAATATTTATCTAAATAATTAAAAAATTATGTGAACATAACAGTGTCTTCAGCCTATTACTTAAACCACCTCTTCCACTTTTACTGTTTCTTTAGGAAACTTGAATCAGTACTTCTATTGAAACAACAGTGATAAGTTGTATTTAAATGGAATTTGAAACAATTCAGTGTCTTTGAAATGCATTCAGAATGTTAAAGAGTAAATGTCTTCATTATAGATTTCATATCTTTTTATATCTAATACTGTTTTTGAAACTATTGTTACTTAGATATGTGTTGATTATTTTGTTTTGGAATGTCTGTATATGTTGAAACTGTATTATAAGTGGATACTGATAATATGAGGGCAGCAGAGTCTGATCTCTACTAACTTCACACAGAGAGTGAACTGTCCCCATCAATAATAATCACAGTACAGTACTAATTCCTGAATGGTTAGACATGGCCTTCTACACTCTTATACCTACTTTTACTAATTCCAACACCAATCTTATCTGTTTTACTGGGTCCAAAAAGTCTTTTGCAATAGCTACACAGACTACACAGAACCATACTGATGATTATGAAGTTATTAGGAAAGTTAACTGGCTATAATTGAGATTAGCAGCAAGATATAATCTCTTGGTCTGATAGTTCCTCAAGCATGGTTACAGGTCTTTTGACCTGGAGCCTCCTATCTTAAGCCAGTGTTACAAAGTTATCTTAATCCTACCAGTTACAGAATCTTCCCTCAGTTCTCCAGCAAGCTTGAGTTGAAGACCTCTGTGGTTCCATGAGGCAGCTGTCCCAAGTCAGGTCTTAATGGATATGGAGTCTTCCCTCAGTCCTCCAGCAAGCTTAAGTTGAAGACCTTTGTCTTTCATTTTGTCAAGCAGCAGTCCCAAGTCAACTCTTCCTTCAGTCGTCTATCAAGCAAAACGTTTAGCTCTATCTTTGACTCAAGACTTCTGGCTTTGTCTCTGTCTTAAGAGCTCTGGCTCCGTTTCATTCAGTCAGTAGCAAGATACAGTTTCTCAGTTAATCCAGACAGCTTCTTAGTCAACAGAAGATACCTCTGGTACAAGAACCACTGGCCTGGAAGGATGCACCTGCTTTCTTGTCTTCTTCCTGGTGTTAAGGTTCTCAATTTCTGCCCCTGAATCTGCTCAATTTAATGGTGAGACTAGCCAGTGTCTTTGGGGAAAGGCTAACGTGCTCTGTGAGGAAAAAAATGGCTTAAACAGCTGTTGATGATGTATGCTGGGCCACTTGCCCACATGGCAGCTGGGTCAGGTTCATGTGCTTCCAGGCTAGACAGAACTGAGGCAGGCATCTAAACAGTGGTCTGGAGAAGTCATGGTAACAGACCCACTACACCGCAGTTGGTCTGAATTTTGTATATAAATGTATTTTACTATTTCAAATATACTATGGTAATAAAGTTAGTTAATTTTTCTGATTTTAAGTTGTTTAGAAATTGAGAGATTATACATCAGATAATGTGAGATAGAGGAACAGTTAAGGCTCTGCTCTTTCAGCTTTCTGATTTAGTTATTGATATCCTGGTAGCTTTCATTTGTTTAGTTATTAATGATGGATCTTTCTGGCATTTTATGATGCTGAGATTGTGAATAAATATCAAGAAAATGGTGAGAAAGGAGAATCTAATTTTTCTTAATTGCATGCAATGTGAAACCTATGATGTGTTAATATTTAACTCTTTTTATACTTCATAATCTTATTATTTTATAATATTAAAAGTAAGATAAGCTGAAATCTCATTTTTGTGTTATCTTTTCTGTTTTTTAGCTTGATAGCTGGTTATTTCTACAAACATTTAGTTACACCTTATACCCAATAACCTTTCCAAGTGAGAATGCAGCAGAGTGGAAAAAACTCTTTAAACCATGTGCATCCCAGAGATTATTCTTGCCAGTAAGTTTTTTCCCTAGTGCTTTTTTCATATTTAATTTTATACTTTTTTACAAATGAATTCCTAATGATTTACATATAAATCTATTTGGGTAAAATATACATGTTTATATACGAGTTTCCTTTAAATAACCTTACAAAAATTACTCCAAAACCTAAATTAAAAGCTACTGTTAATAGTGTTACTTGCTATGAATGGTTTTGTGTTGAAGAAATAGAGGTTCTCCACTCTTAATGGAGCTAAGTTTGTTGCCAAGTATCACTTTCAAGTTGCAGATCTCATTTTAGAAATCAGTTTGGGAAATGAGATAGTTTCCATCATCATATAATCCTTTTCTTTTTATACAAGCCATTTTACTTTTGCTAAATCAAAAAACGTATTACGATGGGAAAGTCTGCTGTTAATGACCTTTCTAAAGTACTCCAGAGCAACGGTGTCTCTCTGGAGACTAAGGTGTGCCTGATACAGGCCATGGTCTTTGCAAT